AGGGCTACTCATGAATAGGAAAGGAACATCACCCACCAAAACAAAGCCCATTGGACTCTGGACCTGGACCAAAGAACGTTGCAAATCCTTTCAATGTGTAGTTTGGGTGTATGTGTGTGGGGGAGAACGAGGCATGCCAGTATGCCGACTATTTGGCCTTGACCACCACCTAGCCTGGGCCTCTCTTTTTCAGGGGGAGTGAAAAGATTGGATTAGCAAATTCTCTTTGGAGGAACCACTGGCACACTAGAAGTCAGTAGAAAGAATGAGCACCATTGAACTTGTAGATCAGACTGACAAGGCCAGTTGTACACATCACCAAGTGTACCTACTACATCACCAGTGTTACCTTTGCTCTACCTTTCATCACATCAATCACCACACACCACCTCACCTCACTACTCTTCAATTTATCACATGTCACATGCACCTTGACCAGCATTCGCCAACCCTGACATCACCACTCACCACACTACATGTTACCTTTCACACTACACGCCACATCATGATACCAACTTTTACATGTCACTCACTGCAGAACAACTGAGCATCTCCTGACATCACAACATGAGGTCAGAACAAATCACTACCTCCTAGATGGCAGAATGATTAGACTAGTCCTGCGTATATGAGACAATTGCACTAAACTATGATTATGTAAATAATCACCACTGCACTGGACATTGTTTAATGGAACAACTAGACTAGACTGTAGACGATTTGGCCTCTTTGCACCTTGTATAATATCAAAAAAAACATCATATAATCATATAGTATATGTTTCCTTCACTGGCCCACCCATGTGCAAACTACTGGCCAATCCTTGGACATGACTGAAAGGACACAGGGACACAGGGGACTGGTGTAATATGAGATGAGTACAGTACTTTAGTAATTTTGTGTGTCCCAATACATCAAACATGGAGGTCGCCCAACCTCTGGGAGTCGCCCGGGTCGCCCAACCTTTGTTTGGGGGTCGCCCAATGCCTGGGGGTCGCCCAACCGATGGAAAAGGGACCAGGCCCCATGCCGTGCTTGACGAGTACCCAAAGAAGGACCCCTAGGTGGCCTAGGACTGTTTAGAGCGGTTTGGGACTATTTCATAAAAGCTCAGTACGATTTCTCAAAAGCTCAGGACTTTTTCTAAAACCTCAGGGCCATTCCAAAAAGCATGTTTTTTTTCAGGGCACAAGTGCTAAATAAACTATTTTGTACAAACAAAACAACAGAGTCACATACATCCAACTTAGCAGTGATGGCCTCCAACCAACCATAGACCATATTGGAATGACAACTCAGTCAGCTTTGCAGCACTACTACTACTACTACTACTACTACTGCCACTGCTACTATTGTAGATGTAGTACCGTGACCCTGTCCATTTCTAGAGTTTATATAATTGTTGTCTAGAAACCACAGAAATGAATCAACCTAAACACATTTCAAGTCAACATTATTTTGCTGCTGAACTTAACATGCTTAAAACTAAAACTAATACTAATATGATTAGATCAATATGATGTGTTCAATTTTTGTATGTTATATAAAGCTTCAACATGGATGACTTTTGGTGCCCTTTGAAACCGCTCTAAGCCGTTTAGAGCTATTTCTAAAGGTTGTTTCTAGGAATAGCTCTAAACCGCTCAGAACTATTTCTTCCTGCAAAAAAATCAGAAACCGCTCTAAACCGCTCTGGAACTATTTGAAAAACTCAAAGTTTTCTGACTAAAACTGTTTGAAATAGTACTGAGCCGTTTAGAGCCGTTCAGAGCTATTTCGAAAGCAACAGGATGAAACCGCTCTAAACCGCTTGGAGCCGTTTCAAAGCTCCTAACGCAAGGATTGCGTCATTTGCCTCATTAAGTTATATACATATTTTACTATAATAGAAAACTTATAACATATATAAAGTATACTATTTTTAATATAAGTAGTATTTGAAACGACTATATGTATTATAGTATTAACGCTATGTATACTGGGTACCGGTGACAAAGGACTTGTCGCTACCAGTGACTTAGGATTAGCGGTTCCCAACTCCTAAGTCATCGTCGAACGGCAAAGTGCACGATCCATCCATGGCTTACATCTCTTCACATGAGGTTCCTTGCACACTTTACAGTAAACAGTAAACCCATAGGAAGAGCCACAACAATTAGAGTCAGAACACTTGGATGTGTAGTAGTAGTCCTAGGAATCACTCTAGAAATAGCCCTAACATATTTAGGAATAGCTTTAACATATTTAGGATAGCTCTAACATATGTTTTAAATAGTTCTAACATATCTAGGAATAGCTCTAGAGCCTCACAGAGAAAGAGGCAATAGCCGGTCTTACAGTAATACAATATGCCCAAAACTCTGAAAGTGCTTCTATTGATGCGATGCTACAGGTTGGTTGCGGACATAGGATTGTGGATTCGCAAGTTTCAAAGCAAAAATATGACGAAATCGACTTTGAGTCAAAAAGCGGATGCCAAGACGAATGCCGAGAGAATAGATATGTAAGGCATCCGTCCACCTTGTTGTGCCCACGGTGCCCGCGTTGATAGTGATCACGTCCAGTTCTATGCCTAGAGTGACGAACCCCAACATCCCTCATGATTGCGCTTTGGCTCTCGCGTCTTGGCAGCCAGCTAAACACTTCTGTACGCGCACAGCTTCTCAATGGCAGCAAAGTTGTCAGCCTTGTGATGCTGTTTTTGCCAGAAGAGATGCCCCACGCCAGGCCTGGCAACATACCATGGGGAAATTACTGCAAGCTTGGCATAGTGAGTTGTTTGCGCCCTATAAATTGCCTGGCTTCTTGTCAAAACGGAATTCCAAGTGGTGGAGTCGCTACGAAGCCCAAGAATGTGGCAGGTCCTCAGAAGCCTCAAACAAAGCGCTCTCAGCAACTGTCATTCTAGCTGCAAAAGTTGCATAGGCAAAGGCAAACGCAAACCGGACAAGCTGCTCGAACGCATTTGGCCATGGCTGCGCGAAACTCAAGAGCCTGAAGAAAGCAAACGTCTGACAGAGTGTGTGCTGATCGCTCTAGGCTCAAGTCTTGTTTGGCTTTTGCAAGGTCGCATGAGCCAAGAAACGTGTTGCAGCCCACTAAGTTCATCTGCACATCACAAGTCACAGCTCGCTGAAGGCATTCTGTTGCAGCTTGCCAGTCTCAGGAATCTGAAACATGGATGCACTGACTGATCTGATAACAGCAACGTGACACAAAGCTGAAGTTGATCAACACAATATGCTATCTGACATAAGTTGAGGCCCGCTGAGAGAGCCAAAGGAAACCACCCATTGAACGGACACAATTATATATATAAAGGATTATACAGGTATCGGCATTGCAAACTTGAATGTTCAAACAGCCAAAAAATACAGTATGTCAATGAGGTGCCCACTCTCACTTTGTCGAAGGCAGGCTGCAAGCGCATTGATGGTGATCTGGGAGGGCTTTGCACGTGTGATAACACTGTCCCCTGCTCCTACAATTCATCCCTTTAGCCTCTCGGGCAACACCACAAGTATAACAGTATAACGCACAAATCTCTGTGCCCCAAATGCTTCAAGCATCCTTTATCTACACCCCACAAGAATCACAAACTCTTACTGTAGCTATGGCACGTTTTGGAGTTCGATTCTCCAGTTCTTCATCGACTGTAGTAGCATTTGCCCAAATGCCCAGCTTCCGGCCCTTGCGCAACTGGTCACGCCAGCGTTGTAGCCATAGGCATCTGAAAACAGGTTGCATGTAGAAAGGTGCTGCGTTGCGCCGTGTCAAGTGACAAGGCACACACAAACAGCCCAGGGTCTCAAACCATTGTATAAATTGAGGCATGCGCTGAGCTGCATGTGGGCTGCCTGAAAACTTGCAAGCAAACCTTGGAGTGGTGAGCAATACGCAGTGGATGTTTGCCTTGCCCGAATCCAGGTACTGTATATAATGACCTATATAATGTGTTGCATCAACACTGGTTTTCCGCACCTGGGATCACCTATATATACGTAGTTGTTTTCAACATTTGGAATTGTTCTAAGACCCCTTACCAGTCCTGCCGCGACAGGACTTTTCCTAAATGAATTTGAGAAACACTTGTGATAACTTATGACTCGACATCTTTTGAAGATGTTCTAAGTTCCAAAATCTGAATTAATTATCAACCCACCATCAAAGCCCAAGGAATCACACCCTCCTGTTTGACAAGGACGATGCTGCAAAGTCTCTTAGGCATGGCTGCCACTTTCCAACTGTTGCCACAGCTGCCAGAGTTGCACTTCCCGTAACCACATCAATATCTATGCCACGTTGAGTGGCCTCAGGCATGCTGTTGATCAGAACTCTTTACGACAACTTTTTACCATTGGCAGGCAATGTTCCGTCTTTACGGTGCAGGTTTGTCGCCTTGGCATTGCCCCAAATTTGAAGGGCCTTGAAGTCCGAAACTCAAGTCTGGCACAAATAGAGCATTCAAATCTGAAATCAACAATTTTACCCTCTCTTGCACCTTTGGCCAGTGTTGGCGCTTGACTCTTGTGATGGCAAACGTGATTTTTGCAGCATTTCTCTTCCTCTCCGCTTCCTGCAGCATCAAAGCCGGCAATTGGAAAGAACGACTCGTCATGCGTGTACTTAATGCTCTTGGTGCTTCAATCAAGAACCCGGCCTTTGTCAGAATGTTTTCGTCACCATTCAGTGCTTTGTTGGCACCCACGCATATCATAAGACATCGCGCGCAATGCCATGGCAAAGTCACAACTGAGTCAAAATTCTACAAGTAGGCTGCGCAGTACCAAACTTGTTTTAAGTGTTGTTGCCGTAGGTTGTATGACGTTGGTTGAGTTGAAACTTGGATGGCAAACATGCGAGCCGTCCCAGTTCCTTTCAAACCACATGGTTTTTGCACTGGAACAACGTGTCTTTGCAAGCGCCTCTGTTGTTTCCACCGTTGTCGCAAACCAGCACTGTCAAGCCCACGCTCTTGAAACATCAGCTGAGCTGGCAGCAAACGGGTCAACATTGGACATTTTGGACCTTGATCGGGCACTTGCAACATGCTGAAAACCAATCTGACCCTAATCAGCCTGACGAACCTTGACGGAGCAACCGCACCTCCCTGATCAACTGTAGTCGGCTGTCCGACGACGGAGGTCAATGCTCGGCCCGAGGCACCCACGTGGCTCCGTGAGGCGCAGGCCGGACCTGAGAGCGCGCACGCTTAAAATTGCACAAGGAAAGCATCCAAGCTCGAGATAATGAAGTTGCCACTTGTCGCCAAAACATTTAACAAGTTCTCAGGACGCACCGCCCGAGGGGCAGCGGCTGCTTTCTTTTCCATCTTGGGCCAACACAAGTCGATCTGATACAGGGGTGTGAATGATCATAGCAATGTGTGGGTTCACTCAATATCTTTCAACCCCCATCATCCTGAACAGTACGTGGTCACTGCGAGGCAAGACACCGTACATGCTCCTCCTCCCCAGATTCACAGTTCGGAACTTTGTACAACTTGCGCACGCAAGCTTCTTCGCTGCAAACCTATGCCAATACGGTGTATCATTCCGTTTTGCTGCCAGCCTCCAAAACTGAAATAATCTGAATACGAAACTAGCTCCTACATGCCATCACTGCCATCGCAACTCATTGTACAAACCCAAAATCAACTGGGCGGCCACACACACAATAGCAAAAGATCTACTGTAGCTGAGTAAGTCAAGCGCGCCAAGCATTGAAAACTAATTGTCTTCAAGGGACATCAACTTCAACCATGGTTGGCAGGCTTTTGGTCATGACGTTAGCATGCTGCTGAGCACATGTACTGCCAGGGAATGAAGCTGTTCAAAATCTTGACAATTTGAGGCCGCATTGGCTTGTGGAACACATTGGGCGCTTCAGCTAAGCTGAAAAGCCACGAGCGATGATAGCAAGCACGGCTGGTTGGTCTCCGCAGGCCGGACTCCGGATTGATCACCTTCGGGCACACCTCCAGGCAGAGCCTCCAGTGAACGAGCTCCTGACCACTTGCAGTCGCTTAGCTCCCCAAAGAAGCACGCAAGGCGACATCCCTGCTGCTGCTGCTGCTGTTACGTAACGTGATGTGGCAGGCAAAGGCCGGGTGAGGCATCATTAACGCCACTCTGATGCTCAACGTTGGCACGCTGGACAGGCTTTCTCAACACGGTTTGCAACCTGTCATGGTTTGCAGTGGGTCCAACAGCAAAACTAAATAGACCACAAGGTTTGAAGAAGTAACAAGTGGGCTGCTGTTGCAGCTCCAACTTACTGATGAGCCCTGCGCTTTTCACCGCTGACGCAGGGGCTGACACTTGGTGTCCCGCAGCGATTGGACTTCTCACCGGCTGGCTGGCCGGTACCCTTGTCCAGTTTTGCTGATTTTTTCGCGTTTGGAGAGGAATAAGTTTCAGTTGGAGGGGGCCTGAATCAGATCGCGATATTCAAGGAAGCTCAATCACGCCAGTGAAAATCCGTGACACGCGTGTTGATTTTGCATGAACAGCGTCAAGCATGGGCCCAGTCGTGGTCTTGAGGGTCTTATATGTCAAGGTGGTCAACGGCGATCTCAGAGCATTGCTATGCACCTGAAGAGGAAGAGGGTGGACAAGGTGCAGGACGCTGCTGAAAGATCTCTCGTTGGTAAAGACCCTGCAGCTCCTGCCAAGCTCGAAAAGAAAGAGGACATGGTCTTTAATTAAACTTACAACTTGACCTTGGTTCCATCAACGTCTACTGAACGTAGGGCAGTGAAAACGCCAACCTCTTGAAGATGGCAGCGCGGCTCTGGGAGGTGATGAAGGTGTTGCGGCGGAAAAGTGCTCAATCACCACCGGAAGACTATAGACGTCGAAAATGCCCCAAGAGAGGCGCCCCTTCGTGAGGTGAACACTGGGCGGCCCGAGGGCAGAAAAACAATTTCCGCATGGCCAACAACTTGGCTTTATCGTTTTCAGAGCCTACACTACACGCAAAGCCCCTGGCCCAAGTTCTTTGGATATTTTGTGACATATTTCACTTTGCACGTTTAGCAAGTTTCATGGCTTGCTTGTTTGAATCAGTCAGGTTTGCAAAATGCCTTGCTGACCAAAAGCACTTCAACCCAGCAGCCTTCTCATTGCTCAATTCCTTCGTGATCGCAACGCCTTTTTGCTGACTTCGCGCCCAACAACTCCTTAGTGACGTGGTTCCACAGCTAGGGCCAGCTAGGGCTCCTGTCCTGAACTTGGAGCAACTGCAGCGATCATCAAACTGCAGAAACACTCCTCAAAAGACTGGAAGACCGGTGGATGCATACAATTCATCCCCAGCACTGCGCAAGCCCGGGCAATTAATGGTGGGGGTGCTCAAATGAACTGCAAATGTCTAACCTGGATGTGGCTTTGTTTCATACCCTGTCTTTAAACCCCCTCCCTACCAATGCGTCCTTGCTCCTAGTAGTAAGGCCAGGCGCCCCCAGTTCTCGCTTCCTTCTCATCCTCGGGCACGTGGCCTGTACTACCAAGCCGGCGAGATAATGCAAAACCAATTAATAATTAGGAGTGTTGAAGGGAAGAAAACAATCTGACTAGGATGAAGGGTCTCAAGACATGGTGCACAGATATGCGCGGTGATAGTTGCAAACCTCACATCATCGATGCCACTTGCGCGCTTGACTGCCAATGTCCGCCGCATCTTTTGTTTCTGGATGAGACAACGGAGTGATCGGGTCTCAGAATGGAATATAATAGCTTTTCACACAGCCAGGTGGATGACGAAGCCTCTTGGTTCAGTTGCATGGCCCTATTTGAGCCCCAAATCCACAGTGCCTCGGGCAGCCAAGAGCAGCGCGGGCTGATAACCACTCGAAATGATGAAATCTTGAGCCAAAATCAGCCAAAAAACAGGTAGCGCAAGTTGAGCAAATGCAGGTGGTGTGAAATGCTCATAGCAATGTGTGTATGGGTTCACACCCAATCATGCCTTTCAACTAACAAAGGCAGCGCCAAAACAAAAAAACTACTGTACAACTTCGAAGACACAAACAAACGTAGAAAAACTGGGGCGCCAAGTTTCCTACACCTGTTCCATTCTTCGAGTTGTCCCGGATACACAATCCGCTGACCTCGCGCAACGCAGCAGCAGTAAAATAAATCTACACGAATACAATATTTTTCACAGATTTTTGTAGAGCAACAATGTTGTCAGTTTACGTGGTCTCTATGCGAAACTAGTCGATGTAGGTGCCAAGCCCCTCCTTTCGCTCCAGTACCTCAGCTCTTCAACTCGCCCTCCACAGTGTAGGAAGCAGGTTAGGCCACTGCGGATGAACAGTTCGGCATGGAACTGTGACACACCATCGCTGTCAATGACCACATCCTTTGCGCAACAAAGCACAAACTGCTCCCGGTCCCTTGAAAAACTCAAGCTCGTCTGCCGCGCTCTTGGATGTTACTGTTCCAACAACTGAGGGTATGTCATTAGCAGCACTTCGCCCAACTCGCACAACCTGCTACGTGGAACTTGTGGCTCTTGGCGCTTCGTGCTCTGCATCACACGCGGCGCGAACATCTTCCACAGCCACAGAAACTAAGGCTGCAGCAGTGCCTTCCCGCAAGCTGAACACCTCGGCAAGAAAGCAAAGGGGTCTGATTCTGAATTTATTGACATGAACATGTGCATTGGAACACGCAATCCTGACCCTTATCCGGCTTGATGCTATCCGCCTGGCCTGGTGCTTTGTGTCCTGCGCGACCTTTACCGTGCACCTGGAGGAGCACACGTCACCAGCAACGGCAAAATCGGAACAGCTCCGAGTGCTTGACTGCACCAACGCAGACCAATCCTGTCTAGGTGATGAGTCACGGTGATGAGTATATGCTTTCTCTGTCTGCCATCCCTTTTTATGTGTCTGGGTCGAAGCGTCGCAAGAGGCGGGATCATGATGGCTATATAGTGGGTGGAACGTGTTTCTTCTTGCCGGTCTTTCCTTGCCCATCCTTTCAGTTCCTTGCTCCCCCGCTCATCCTGGAGCACGAGCCTCAAAAAGATTAAACGAAAAAGTAGGGAAGTAGGGCAGGCCAATGTCAATGAACAAATCCAACCCCATCCAATCCCCAAGTTCGTTCTGTTGAATCGCGACTCAGGCGGTTTGCGCCATCAATTTTGCCAACCTAAAGTATTCTCTCCAGCTCAAAATCTTGGAGAGCCGGACCTGACTGTCGTCATATTGAGGGCGAGAAAGGTCATGACTAGGAATCTAGAAAGCACCCAATCCTGAGACTTCTTGGGCCAGTTCTGTTCAATGTGTATGTGTATATTGCGTGCGTGTGACTTCATCTGCCGTCCAAAGCCAGCCATGTCAAGCCATCTTCTATTTGGCTGCATCCACTACTGCGCCCGTCAATCTGCTTCTGCTATTCCAATGGTGAACTAACTTGCGCCTTCCACTTATATTACTTAAGAGGTAGGGTGTATATTGCACGCCTGTAAACTCACACCTCTACCATAAGCACCTGAAGGCACCCTCCTAAATCGGGCCGGGCAATCTTTTTCACAGGCCCGTGGCGCGAGATATGCTGCCCGAGTGGCCGTGGCCTTGATCATCAGCATTTTGCTCTTCTGCTTGCTCTTCTTCTCTTCCTCTTCCAGAGAAAGAGAAAGCGCAAGAGAAAAAGACAGGGAAAAGGAAGAGAAAGAGGAAGAGCAAGAGAAAGAGCTAGAGAAAGAAAGATGAAGAAAAAGAGAAAAAGGAAGAGAAAGAGAGATAAAGAGGGACCTGCTTGCCTGCCCGGCCCGCTCTCAAGCGTAAGCCTTGAAACCTATACAAGAATTACACAATAATTGCACAAATACCGCCTGCAAACTTAGATGGAGCCTGAGAATTAACCCGCGGGAATACAATTTTCCTCAAAAAACCAAATGGTTTTAAGGTTCCATGATAGTCTGCAGGGGAGTAGTATCTTCACTTGCATGAGCGGAAAACAAGCACAATCAATCACCCATACAGAAGCACACGCCGACCTATAAACACAACTGTAACACAACTTGATCTACTTACAAACCCATTCGTCCGAGCACTTGGGCGCAAATACTTTTACTTGAGTGGGAAAGGTAGGTCATTGAGTTCAACTTTCAAAGAGGAGAGAGAAGAGAGAGAAGAGAGGGAGGGAGAGAGAGAGAGTGACAGAGAGAGAGAGAGAGAGAGATATCCGTGGGGCAGCAGCAGCAGAGCAACAGTAACATAACAGCAGCATTAGCGCAGCAGCAGCTGAAAAGCTCAAGAGGAACCTAATCGCAGCAAAGCTGCATCACCAATAGAAAAGAAGCAAAAAAAAGGCACGGAGGCAAAGCTCCATGCGAATCCAATCAAACCAAGGCAGGAGTAGCCAAATGACGAGGGAGGAGAAGCTTGATACGAATCCAATCACACGAAGCCACGGTACCAGTACAAATGAAGGAAAATTCACCCGTTGCAGGGGTGGAGTTGATCCACTGAGAGGGGGCGAAGGGGGGCCCTATGCGTCGAACACTGTTTTTCCGCAAGTTCGCAAATCAGAAAATGCAAACATACTATAAATTTTTAAAATTTTTGGCTCCAAAAATGATAAATACTATAAAATTTGGTATGTCAGGATTTCTGAATAAGTTAAATATAATTTATAAGACAGTATATATATGAAAATATTTTATTTATAATATATAGACATTCCGGGCACCAAAAATTATTAATACATATTTTTGCTATTTACGAATTTTTGGATCAATTCATGTATGAATATTGAAAACTGTATTGCTTTTAAAATAGTGATATCACTTTTAATACATTCCGGGCACCAAAATTTACAAATGTTATGAATATTATAAATATTTGGTCTTCCCGGGTGTCTGGATCAAACAGTTTAAAAATATTAGAAATATTGTAGGTACTTAATATATATTTTGTATTTAAACAATCCGGACACCAAAATGTATAAACATTCTAAGCATTTGGTCTTCCCGGATTTCTGGATCAAATAAATCTAAAAATAGTATAAATATTTTAGAAAAGAAGTTTTAACTTTATAATTTCCGGTCACAAAAATTATATATATGTATGTAAATATTGGGTCTTCCCAGTGTTTCTTGACCAATTAAGATTATAAATGTAACAAATATTACAAATATAAAAAACTAATGAACATGTTTATAACATTGAGAATATCTAGAAATTCCGGGCACAAAATATTACAAATATTATAAATAGTCTTCCCGGGTTTCTGGATCAGTTAAATTTACAAATATTATACATATTACAAATATATTAACTTGAGGCCAGGGGGAGAGGTCGAAAGCTAGCCGAATCGCACCGGATGTACTAGTTACATAGTCGGCAAAGCATGTAGGGATTACATGTTTTGGGGGGGAAGGTTGCTATGTACATACTTTGCGCTAAAGAATGTAAATGTGACATCGCTGACTGGGAAGGGTACATTGGAACAACCCGGGTGCACTCGTTGGCAGGCACGAAGATGCGTGATCGGCACATCTGGGGGGTAAATTTACCCTCCGCTTTTGTATGCCTTGAGTCGGAAAGAGGGGTAAGCATTTCTGACATCATACGGACTGTACATACACTAGGGCGTCCGTAGTGTAGGAGAAGCAAGGGTAAAAGGTATATGGAATAGAGTGTCTTGAGGAAATAGCCGGTGTATGGTTATTGCAAATCTGGGGGGTAAAT